CCATCTCCAGATCCGCCTGTGTACTCATAATCATCCCCTGCACCCAAAATCGCACAATTAATAAATATAAACTTGTAGCCGCTAAATGAAGCAACGTTTTCAAAAGCAGAAAGACAGGAGGCATGCAACTCCAGTAAATTGTTAGGAAGAAAAAGTTAAGGGGAATAAAAATATAAAACTTACCGCACCACGCACCACAATCCAGTCACCAGAGCTTAACATAGGCAGTCTACTTTCCTACTTTGTAGATCATACGTGTTGATTCAACCTCTTTATTCATAAAAAAAAAGAAAACAANAACAATCTTATGACACTCTTGCAAAAAATCTATCTTCTTTTTAATCACAGCAAAAACAATTGACAACGCAATCCATGGCTAAGCAGTGTCATAATATCTGTTATTTTTTTATGTATAAAGAGTTGACATTTTAACTATTGTGTATTACGGCTTTGAATGAAAACTAGTTACGTATGATCTACTATTTTATGGTTACCTCACTCCCACAACTCTACTTTACCATACGACTACTTATTTCAGTTAGATACTTATGTTATTATCGATTTATCACTGCCGAAGACCTAACGAAAGGATACTTACTACGATGACATGGAGAATAAAATCTTAATGAATGACCTAAATAATGTCTATTTTATTTTGGGTTCTAAGTATTTAATAATATGTGAATGTGTACCTATTCTACTTTTATGCAAGTATTATTCGGAAACCTGAGGCCGAGGCAGATATGTCGGAAACGTTACAGAACGAAGGCTGTGGCGACACCATGCCTCCGCAGTACATCATCTGGACCTGAATGAGAGATCCTCACGTTTAGAATCATGATTTGGAGCTTTTTAGCTATACTACAGCTTTTTAAGTATTGATGATGCTATGATGATGCTAAGGTCCGAGGAAAAAAGCACTGGTTACTACTTAGGATACGCGAAAATGTGTCAGGTTCTAAGAATACTTTTATCTATAAACGACTGCTGATAGTGATTGTAATAGTCGTAACGATTGCGCCTAGAAATACTGTTGTAAGAATATGAACGTGACATTCTAAGAATTTCTCATATTGATTTGTGTGTTAAATTGTTAAACTACATGAATGTTTTGTTGTTAAATTTCGAACTCCTCCTATGTTCTTCTGATTAATTTCGTTGCGGGTCCAATGACAGTTTAACTTTCCCCCGGGACAAACTTGACCTTCATTGGTTGGGTTTTTGTGGCGGTCAAGCTGTAGATCCTGGCTACACAGGAGTTGCAGTGGTGGGAACGAGAGGTGGGAATAGTCCCGTTAAACTACATGAATGTGGTAGGTAGCTTTTCATCTTTTTGAACTACTAAAGGGCTACTTAGTCAAGAACGACCCACAAGAACTGTGTTAGAGATTCGACAGCGAGGAATTGNAGGAATTGGATTTTATCAAGTTTTTGTTTACCAAGGCTTATTGTAATGCTATGTATTTCCATCTAATATACTGACCAAATGTGTTCCCCATAGTTATATGAATGATGTTACTAAATAAAGGCTTTACAATAACTTGGTCTGGCTGAATTCAGGTAAGATACAGAAATCAAGCTCCTTGTAAAACAGAATTCAGTGTGTTTGAAACACGGATAGGCCAGATCTAGAAGTGCATCCTCAGAGAAGGTAATTGTTGATAAATCCGTAAATACGAATTACTAGCATAAGCTCAAACTTTCAAAAAGTCAAACATGCATAGGGTTGACTTTATGCATATTTGACTTTTTGAGAGATTGTGATCTTATGCTAGTCTGGTCTGTGAGCACGTAGAATTTTGTCCAATGACCCCAAGCTACCCATCCTTATCGCTCGCGCGTAAATATTGCTGTCGCGACTGTGCGACGCGACGGGCGCCCGCAGTGAGTGTGCGAGCGTTACAGCAACATAATTACATGCGAGCGATAAGGATGGGTAGCTTGGGGTCATTGGACAAAATTCTACGTGCTCAGACCAGGCTTAAGCTAATACCACTTTCAGCCAGGCCCCGTCAATGAGTGATGATATCTGTGACGTCAAGACCTGTGGAGGTGTCCCGATGGCCTCGCTCATTTGCGGGACGCTCACGAACTTAGGACTGCCTGCGGCACTGGCCACACCATCACCCTCTATTGCAGAGTCAAGAGTCAGAAAGCCACACAGCTTGAATCAGTCAATCATAGCATGTTGAGATCCACTGAGATTTTACATGTTCTACTTTTAGTTTTCTGATCACCATATAAGAATAATACAGCACTCGGGATTTTTCTCCAATCGTATGTAGTCTGCAGTGGATTCAGCAACATGCATTGAGAAACAGCTTCAAGCTAGAATTCCCTAATCAATGACATACACGAAACCGGTTAAGCAGCTAGGAGTGAAGTATATGAACAGAAACCGTGAAAATTTCCACGTATCTGTTGGTTATTGATTTGATTGAATCACGATTTGTCCTATTCGTTAAGAACGGCGTAATCGATTCGTGTATGTCGACGAACGAAGATAACTGTTCAAACGCTTGTCGTCAGTCATTTGAAAGGGCTAGAAAAATGACACTTGGCATTCATCCACTACGGCCCAAATTATACAGCTCTATAAATGAGCGAAGAAACTACTTTACGAACGTAAGGTTGCAAAAATACAAGAGCTTTTTGCAATACGATACCACAATACTTGAAATGCATCATGCAATCAAATATAGTAACACTTATCCGCAAGCACAGAAGCATCAAGAAATTACAGTAAGAGATTTAAATATCTTTGGGCATTGAAACAGTATCTTGAGACGCCATCTTAATATTTAGATTCCTTCTAATAGCAACTTCTTGTCGGATAATTTTATAAGTGGTTTGTTAAGGCGACACAAATTCCGAAAAAGCCCAGCTTTTGACTTCGAAGAAAAGTTAACAGTTGGTGTAATTAACGTAACGCGTGGCTATCTCTGAAGCTTTCATAGTATTTTCAGATCTAGCTTTCCCTGTCGCCCAAACCAATATCTCGCTATAAATGAGAAAGACGAAATGGTCCAAAAATTTGATCGTTTTAGAAATTAGCCTCGCTGAAGTAATATTACAACTGTCAATTTTGTCTTCGAGCTAAGCAGACGTGCAAGACACAGCATTTGAACATTCATACAACGCTCTACTAATCTACAATCCTTTAGTATTTGTAAACCTGACAAAATCAAAACTAAAAATAACAATTTATGAATTTGATGAGTGGTCTTTCAGAAAAAGTAAAAAGAAGTGTTAGATGNGAGTCAAGAGTCAGAAAGCCACACGTAGCTTGAATCAGTCCATCATAGCTTGATGTTGAGATCCACTGTGATTTAATATGTTCTACTTTTAGTTTTCTTATGATCATATAAGAATAATACAGCACTATCGGGATTTTTCTCCAATCGTATGTAGTCTGCAGTGGATCTCAGCAACATGCATTGAACAGCTTGAAGCTAGAATTCCCTAATCAATGACATACACGAAACCGGTTAAGCAGCCTAGGAGTGGTCTATGAACAGAAACCGTTAAAATTTCCACGATATCTGTTTGTTATTGATTTTATGTTCCCAAAAATCATCTGACCATGAGATCTCGAATCACGATTCGTCCTATTCCTTAAGAACGGCGTAATCGATTCGTGTATGTCGACGTACGAAGATAACTGTTCAACCGCTTGTCTTGTCGTCAGTCATTTGAAAGGGCTAGAAAAATATCACTTGGCACTCATCCACTACGGCCCAAATTATACAGCTCTATAAATGAGCGAAGAAACTACTTTACGAACGTAAGGTTGCAAAAATACAAGAGCTTTTTGCAATACGATACCACAATACTTGAAATGCATCATGCAATCAAATATAGTAACACTTATCCGCAAGCACAGAAGCATCAATAAATTACAGTAAGAAAGAGATTTAATATCTTTGGGCATTGAAACGGTATCTTTACAATCTCGACAGAGACGCCATCTATTAGATTCCTTCTGATAGCAATTTCTTGTCGGATTATTTTATATGTCGTTTGAAGGCGATACAAATTCCGAAAAAGCCCACCTTTTGATTTCGAAGAAAAGTTAACAGTTGGTGTAATTTACGTAGAGCGTGGCTAGTATCTCTAAAGCAGTCATTGTATTTTCGGATCTAGCTGTCCCTGTCGCCCATACCAATATCTCGCTATAAATGAGAAAGACGAAATGGTCCAAAAATTTGATCGTTTTAGAAATTAGCCTCGCTGAAGTAATATTACAACTGTCAATTTTGTCTTCGAGCTTAGCAGACGTGCAAGACACAGCATTTGAACATTTATACAACGCTCTACTAATCTACAATCCTTTAGTATTGTAAACCTGACAAAATCAAAACTCAAAATAACAATTTATGAATTTGATGAGTGGTCTTTTAGAAAAAGTAAAAAGAAGTGTTAGATGGCTAGATATACCAAAGGATTGCACTGATCCTGTATCAAGTATAAATAAATTAGTATTTGTTAGTATACATACATATTTTATATGGCTTTGAAAGATTGAAGTGTTAGTTGTGTGCCAATATAAAGTGTGGTGTGATAAATGATGGAACATAATTAATTGAAACGGCATCAATAACGGAAATGTTAAATTTTTCAGAATTTTTTTAGTGATGTAAGACTATTAGACTCCAAAATGCCAGTTCTGTGTAGTTTTCTTTATGTGCCAGAATATAAAAACAAAAATTATGATTAATAATAAAAAACAAATAGGGATCATGTTCGTTCTTTTGGGATTAGGGTGTAGAGGCAAATTAAAAATGCCAGTATTATTTTGAATTTTTTGATTTCTTTTAATTATCTACGTTTAATAATGATGACCTTATAGTAGATATTATATATTTATAATATTATAATATATTTATAATTTTATCATATTACTTATCAAAGATAGAAGAAGCTTAATAATAGGAATTACTACGATTTAAACGGATTTAAATTTTTTCATTACAGTAAGTAACACTACGTTTATATCTATGCTAATTTTATTTTACCAAACCTAATATGAATAAGTATTTCTACAAGTGTTTTTAGCACTTTTGTTACATTAATAAGTTTATCGCGTACAAGCGTTCCTTACTTTAGTGCTTCAGTTAAAATTAATCATTAAAACCGTAATTAACTAATTATCATTAATGATCGTAAAAAGAAACAACAAGGAGGTCGCGTACTATCATAATTTTCCTTTTTATATACGAACATAAAGTAACTTACTCTAGCGGAGCACTCTAGTGCCAGCCGCGATACGAGGGTAGTCTTACAGGACGTCGGCCCACACGCTGCCAACACGAGAGCCGCTTCCAATTAATTACATTTTAGGAAATTAATACATGCGTGTATAATATATCCCGTAGCGGGCGTAAAGTAAACTTATATACTGTCGTAAGTAACCATTACTTTAAATATTGTACATCAGTCGATAGTTCACCTAACAATTTTGTATTCTAATCAATCGAGAATTATGTACTTTAATTCACTATAAAAAATATAGTTTAAAAAATAATCAACATCATTTTTTAATTAAAACAGAAATAAATAACAACTTGCCCTAAGTTTTTAATATAATTAATGTTATAATTAATTGTAAAGCCCGTGCAATTTATGATAAATCTGTGTCAATAATTACATTTATATTTAATTCTAATATAAATATGAGGTTTTATATTAATAATACCTGCATTGATTTTAAAAGTAACTTTAGAAAAACTACAGTAACATCGACTGTCGGCGGCCGACACTTTAAATGCAAAATATTTAATTTTATTAAGTCGAGTAGTGGGTGAACTTAAACAAATATTTATTGCTAATCTAACTTTAACACTAGGGGTGTTGGATATAATTAGTCAATTACGATAATAAGTTATTAATGATCCGCGGCCGGCGGTCCGGCGCGGTGTGCGGCTATACCAAAATACATTTTACACAGTTTATATACTACTGAATAAACATACACATATAAAAACCGCGTACACTATAATATAAAGTAATACAAACAAGAGTCGAAAGGTTAACTACACAACAGTACTACAGTAAGCCATGATTAAAATATTATTCATAGACATTATGATTAAGATACAGTATACGCCTTAGTGCTACTAGTGAGGGCACAATGCACGGCGCGGGCCGGCGCGGGCGCGTTTGACAGACCAAGCCTCGGCGACTCTTAGCGTATTTTGTATTTGTCTAACTATTTTAATTAATAAATTCATCCAATATTTTATGCTCTTCCTATATCATAATTAAAAACCCATATATCTCAATTGATTCACAATAATTTGCACTAAGTTTAAGGTTGAGTAAATCTAAAATTTCTAATACATATTATATTTTTATTTAAATAAATTATACTCTTTATGTTAATTAGAAAATTGCCACGAACGGTACATTACAAACTAATTATCAATAGTGTATTATTGTATTGTTCCAATTTTGTGTGGGACGCGAGTCCTTTATCTATCACCTTAGTGCTATCAATATCACTGAAAATAACATAATATAAATCATCTATATATTCCCTTAACTGTTTAAGGCATCTTTTCCTAATATTAAAACAGATGTGAACAATTTTATCGTATTATCGGTGGTTGTATATTACATCTACAGTAAACAATAATTAACCGAAATGATGGGGGGGTTGGGGGTTGATATAGCAAAGGAACACCGTAGGGGCGTTGCTCGAACGAGGCGAGACGCGGGAGTGAGTTAGTGAGCGGGGAATGAACACAGAACTAACCTAACTAACATAGGAACAGTAAACGAAGCGCGCGGCTACACGTAACCTAGTGGGCAGATAGGCACCAACGACATTAGTTTACATTATTTCATTACTGTTATAAGGTACGAGTTCGATTTCCTACTTACTGAATGTGTCTCAGTCGAGTGTATTAAATAGAGCTATAAGAAATGTACCAATATGCGCGTTAACTATGAACATCACAATGTAAAGGCGTTTTAACTATTTTATCGTTAATTTGAGACCCCGCTCCCCTCGACGGGCCCGTCACTTATAAATTTGCTTACCTCACATTATTTCTCGTAGATAAATTATACTTTACTTATGGAGCGATCTTAAATAACCCTATTCTAATCAAATTATGCATTCAATGTAATCAACAATTCATCTATTTATTAAAACATTTATAACAAATCTTATCGACGCGGCGCTGGATTGCCGCACTAAACTTAAAGGAGCGCCGGGGGCGGCGCTATCAGTACCGTAGTCTACGATATACAACGAGGCCTGCAGGCGGCCTGAGATCGTCTCTTAGCAATATCATTAATTTTTAATCAGTCAAACGCCCGGTATATACAGATCGATACTGCAAGGACGAAGATTAATTTAATCTATAATGTTATTTTAAATTAAACTCACTGTGTGCATGATACCACTAACGGCCGCGGCGGCCTTCCGAAGCTCTATACAGTTTTAAAAATATTTGGCGATCACATAAATTAAAACTTTAAGACTATGTGACGAGAGAATTGATTAAAATTATGCTTTACACACAAGTAAGTATATATACAAGGGCCCGGGAGGGGAGCGGAGCGACACCCAACTATATCCTAAATGCTTGAGCTTCATTTACTTAACATACATTATCCTTTGCTCGTTTTAACAATTTGGCAGGTTAATTTAATTCATTAAAAGTATAAATTCCATACTATAAACTTAAAATTGCGATAAAAAACTAAAATGCATATTAGAAAACAAATTAAAATTACGAATATATTTATACAGATTGTTCCCTTCCGAAATAACGGGAAAAAATTATAATATTATAATACGTTCAGTCATACTATGTTTTGTTAAATATTAACACATAATTATTTCATTACATCCCTACCATTTTCCTAAATCCTAGGGTTGTGGTAAATAACCAAAATTCTAATATTAAACATACATACCCATATATATACCAAATATTTATACAAGTTATTCACTTAATTATGTTTATTTAGGTCATTTTCCCTAAGCGGGGCTCATTATGGAGTCTGTCAAACGCGCGACTGCCGTCGCCCTCGCGCCATCATCAATATACCATTAAAAGAAATCATTTTTAAAACTCTCGAAAGAAAAGATATCCAAATAAAATAAACCATTCAAGCCCACATCCAAATAGAATAAAAGCAAAGTTAATATAAAAACGTGTACTCGTGTACACGACTCGACGTCTCAGCGAGGAGCGGTCGCGAAAACGGGCCAAGTGGATAATATCAAGAACCTTCTTTAGTCAAATGTCAAAGTTAAAGGCGTCATTCGTTCGATCAAAAATAAACGCAAGTTCGCGAGTTCTAGACGATAGAAACCTTACAAAAATTATTCGACGAGCTACGTGTTACAAAATATCTAAATAGCCTGATTGTCATCGTTACACTATTACTTTTTATATAATTTTAATTATTAAAATTAACTCCTTAATTACGCGTGTGGGTTTGTGTCAATGCAGTCACCGGTGACTTACGCCTAAATAGGTTTCAAAAATGCGTAAACGCAGTCGTTTCTAAATTAAATTAGGTTGCATTGTGTAAACTCAGTCGCTATCGACAGCGATTGCGTTCGCTCGCGTAAAGTGATCGTGTAAACCGGGTGTGTCGCGCGGATGTCGCTGCGGAGACCGTATATTATGCTCGCGGGATACGAATCAACGGCTGAAGAGATCGTGGATGCGATTTTTATCGGTCATTGAATAGAAATCGGCATTCGTATACGTTCTCGGTCAGCGCTTGGTGCGTGGTGTGTGAGTGAGGGAGCGGCGGACGAGCGGCGGTTACGCGGCCGGCCACTCCTTGCTAAACTCGCCGGCGAAGTGTTTGGGCGCGTGGTGCGGGTGGTGCACACCTGGCGGCTGCGACGCGGGCGCGTGGTACTCGCCGGCGTAGCGCGACCCGCCGTACGAGGAGCCCTAGGCACGCGAAAGCTCATGGAGGATCGAAATGAGGCCAGACAATGCAATTTACACGATTTTTATTTCATCAAGTCAAATAAAGAGCGATATCGCTGTCGAGAGGCCGCATTACATGATGCCCCCATGATTGTTTCGTTAACTTATTTCGAACAGTCAAAAACGACCTGCGGTTACATTTAACAGAATGCTCGATATACTCTGATTGTGGAACACTTAAAGTACAGCTCTTAATATTAATTTTATCGATTAAATTAACTATTAATGAACCTGTAACAATATGAGAAAATCCAAATTTTACTAATTTGTACTTTAAATGCCAATTTACAAGTGTTGAGATGAGACAAGAGCTTGAGTCATCTCGCACGGCTACAGTTAGGCGATATGGATATCGAATGGAACTAAGGTAAGCTTATATCTAGTGCGATGCGATGGCTTTTTGATGGGCGCGCGTGTTATCGTCGCATAATCGAACCGTCCATAGTGAGAAATTGCCAGTGTTTCGCGACATTCCCTCATCCGAACCCGCCCTTATGTCTAATTGTCTTTCTGGAGGAGCCACTCTTGTGGGCCCTGATCGACCAACTGGAAAAGAAGAATTACACGACATAAAGTCCCACTCGCCACAAGTCCGATCTTAGCAGATTTATGTAAGTAGCGCAGCGCGTGAAAATGGACCAAAGCGTGTGAATATCCCCGAGGGCGGATGAAGAGTCAGCCGGGATGGGCGGGAAGGGAGGGGCGGTGATGAGAGACCTTCAGCGAAACTTGATAACAACACTAATCTTCTTGATTTTTCACTATGGATAGTGCGGAGCGACTGTCAACTATCTCGGCGCGGCTTGATTCGTGGAGCGCCGCGTCATATGAACCGCAGCATAGCTCTCAAAATCAAAAAGACATCGCACATCGAATCTCGCCACTGAAAACATGCAGAGAAGTGGACGCGTCGTCGGACACCAAATAACAAGCATATCGGAACACGGCACACGGATGCAGGGAGGCAAACTAACTTCTATCAACTCATGCTGCATTTCAGCCGCATTCGGTATGTACTGTTTGCATTCAATGGAATGTTTTCGCTGAATTTCACTCGATCACCAATGGTCGGTATTATATTCGCACCATTCACTCGTGAATCGCAAACAATCACCAAAGTACAACCAAATCGAACAGAGGAAAGGTGGAGCCACTGAGTTCATTCGGAAATACCATTCGATCGTTCGCTCACGTTGAAAGGGCACTCCATTCATGCGATCGTACATAAACCACGGCAAACAAGGATAGGGATGCAGGGGAAAACAAAATAAAAAGCTGAGCAGAAACGGGATTTAGGGATAGGATGCAAGCCCCGAGGATTGAGCAAATAATACATTATAACAGTAATCAACTTGGCTGTACTTTAAGATGCATAAATGTTTCTATAGCATTACTATGCATTGTAAAAAACAACTATCTCTTGGACTTATCGTGTTTATTAGTTTTTGTTTGTGTTTATTGAAAGTGATAAAATTTAATTATTCTCGAGCATAATCCAAGAAATAGGTTGTTGACTGTTTGCGATCGATGCCAATTGTGTAATGGAAAGCGGTGCAGAATGAAAATGAGCGCTTTCCATGTAACAATGTCCATCACAATGTGATCTTGCTGACCTTACGTCAGTAGCGTCAGCAGGCTCCGTTACTGCCAGTGTTAACTGTTATGTACTCGCACCGCGACCCGCTAACACAGATCGTGTCTCAAATATTCCAAATAGACTAATTAGTTATTTTAACACTGTGTGAAAGTTACATGCGCATTCTTGAAATGGATTTTAGTTGGAGATTCAAACAAGAACGTCAATGTTTTGAAAAATCGTGATTTAATGCAAGCATGTTCAAAAACTGAATTCATATTTTTTTAATTGGAACAAATAATACGAATGATTAATGAAAGATAATTAACACTTCACGTGCCATGATTTACTACGGATTCTAATGAAAAATGAGGTTAATACGGAATGATTAGAAAATTGAAACACGATACTGTGACCCAAATGATATAAAAATATAAAATAATAAAAAAGCATGATAACTCTCAATCCAGACAGTGAACACATCTCCAACGAACGCTGTAGATGTATTCACTGTGCCAGTAAAAACATTCCACTTGCATTACTAAGATGATTGTAAAACTGTAAGGTCTAGCATTAACCTTTACCCACACCATGTTTATTCCAGATAGCTTTGTAAGCGCGTATCGATAAACAAGTCTTTCTTTAATGTTCAATATCGATTTTTATCGATGCGCTCTTTATATCTTAGTCGGTTTAGTCAATGCGCTAATAAGAACTGTAAAGAGCTAACCAGTCAAGCTTACAAGCACATTCACCATTACCTAAAGTGTCCTGATTCTGCCTTGATATAAAAGTATATTTTAGATTATTAGGTAGTTTCAGATACACTTCCAGCAATAACCTTCAAACCACAAATCGATGCATATTATTATCACGATGCTGAACATGTGGAACTATTCATAAATAATGGTTATTGTTTTACAAATAGTTCCAGCACGCGTGTTTCCTTCAATGGCATGTTCATGGTGACGTGTCACTACTACGTCAGAGATAATAAATCCTATTGCGCTACAGAACAAAAGCCGTCTACTTGTCGACAGGACTTTTCTATAGCTAAATACTTCTAGTGAATGAAACTAATGTGGATTACACAAGAACTAAACCGCACGTTTATCATCTCTGATCGTATGTCCCTCTACTTCTCTGCATGTGTGGCGTATTATTTATTAGTTTCTTAAAATTAACATTAAAAATAACGTTTATTTGCTTAATTCATTAGATAAGCAAACGGTAAGAGAAACACGCATCTTCTAATCTTGTTAGGTTCATTATAGATCGAGATGAGTGTTCCTTTGGAATTTAGAGTGTACCGCATCACCAAATGACGTAAGATAAAAAACACATTAGAACTTGAATTGAAATGACAGCATTTAACTTTGAAATAAGTGTTGAATATGGATATTTCCATAACGAGTTTATAGATAGTAGTCTGCACGTTACAGATTTATCTGACGTCATAAGACGGCGTAACTGTAAGTGTGATTCGGAAACAGCCGAGAGTGTAAACAATGTGATAAAATTATTGGAGCGAATTAAAAGTTGATAATATTGTGACTCAAAGAAATTGATGCGTCACTTGCTGCCATTTTGTTTGACACGACCATAGACCAAGGTCCGCATTACAAAACAATGCTCAACTCAATTCAATCTCAGTCAGATTTCTATCCTTTGATTGATCTCAATATTGAAATCCAATCAACCAATAGCTGCAATCTATGCTGAGAACTTAATCTAGTTTTGAACTTCATTCCGAAATACGCACAATGTTATTCAAATAGTAAATAGTCGTCACGTAAGCACAATCATCGTCAAATAGTACGTGACACCCAAAGTAGCCAAAAAGTCACTACACAACCTTATTCCAATTGTAACAAAGACATGTTGCAATATTTTTGGCTACTTTAGGTGCCACGAACTATTTGAAGCTGACTGTCGCAGCAGAGTAAATACAAATGAGTAGGTTATCTTCATAGAAACTCACCGAGCGCGTTTTGAATGTGAGCGCGCCAATATACTTATGCGGCGCGCACTGACAAAATTCTAATCCACGCTAAATTTTGTGTGCGCGAAAGTAGCTAAAAAGTTCACTACACAGTCATCTTTGTTGCAATTTTATTGGAATAAGGATGTGTAGTGACTTTTTGGCTACTTTGGGTGTCACGTACTATTTGACGATGACTGTGCTTGTTTTAGGCTGCACGTCTACAAAGTTCGTTTTACATATTTCGTTCTGCTCCAACAATAAAAGGTGACGATCACATTATCAACCCTCTCAGCGTTCTCCCGTTACATTCAGTACTCGTTGTGTGGCGTGTGCGAGTGTGGCGGGTGTGGCTGGTGGTGTACCTGGTCCTGCTGGTAAGCGGGCGGGTACTGCTGGTACGTGGAGTAGTCGGCGGACGACGACTTGGACAGCGCTGCGGAGGACAGCGCGGCGGACAGCGGAGGCTGCGCAGCGCCGCCGCCCGCGCCGCCGCGGCCATACATCTCGCCGCCTTCGGACAGCGGCACGTACGAACCTGTGGAGGGGATAAGTTAGATACTGGCATGGCTCAACCATATACTAAGGAAACACAAAAATACTTCTAAGTAGCTAGACAGGCTGTCACATCGCGACACGGTGAAATAACAGAATAAAGCTTCAACCACACCAACGCGTGATCACCATCGCTGGGCGTGATCAAAGGCCAATGACAAGTCGCGCGACCCACGACTGTCCTCGCGATCTGTCATTGGGCCTATGATCGCGCCGGCGATGGCGATCTGCACGCGTTGGTGTGGTTGAAGCTTAAGTAGCCAGACAGGCTGTTCAGAAGCTTTTGTCACATCGCGACACGCCTTCTGGTTACGTGAAAAAACATAATATGCGCTCACCAGTTGGCAGCACTGTAAAGTACGTCAGCGCGGTGTAAACTGGTGAGCGCTGATGCCGATGCATTTTTGTATGTACTAGCGTGGCGCCACTGTAGAGTAAGATCCTGTCACTCGTGAGTTACAGGAGTGAGTGGCGCCAACTAGTGAGCTCATTAATTAGGTTTTCTTCGGCACCATAGCAATGAGTGCTAGTTCGTCAAACTTCATGAACCTCACGGTAAAATAAATCTGCTCCTCTCGATTGCTCACATATTGCTTTCGCATTCGGTTAACAAGCAGTAATAATATTAGATCAGAACAGCCTGTCTACTAGCACAAAGAAGTATTTGACAAAACATCGCTTAGCTAACAATACAGCGTTGAGTGTAACATTGGTCGCATGACCTTTTGCACTTCATTGAATAAAGTTTTAAATGTAAAACGTCATGAATTTATTATATTGTTAACTAGACGACGATAACGATCGTGTCTATATCTACTTTTAATTATTTAGCTATTAGAATAATTATTACAGAATCTATCTAAATATATTATTAATAGTTTTACTCATTCGCTTACACTGTCTCATAGCTGGGCAACAACAGATAAAAACTGCTTAAAAAAGTAGTGTTGATTTTTTTATAAATGTGACCGGAGAAAATCTAGATAGTTGCCTAGCAGTGGGACAGGTAATTTATAGTATAGTTGAAACATACGCTAACGTCTCCATTTATTGATATTATCGAAAAGGTACACGACCACCGTGGGGTACTAAACATTCTAAGACAAATATTGTGGTTAGTTTTCTGTTAATGTGTATCTAACGCGTGTTCTAACCTCTAAGCCGCTATACAGGGTGACCCGAGGAGCTGTGTCGAGTGGAAGGCCAGAGACTAGTCACCTCTCTTGATGGTACCCAACGAAACACATCTTATGCCAGCCAATTATTGGGATGCCTAAACACTGATCATCGAATACGTGATAATTATTGATCCCCAAAAATCCGCTGATCGACAAAGGTTTGGCCAAATAGAACGCGTACCTAGCGCACTAGCTTTAGCCGGACGTCACTCTATAGCGCCGAATAATGTTGGTAGAATGTGGACAGTTTCATTCAAATACAGCGCTGGCGCTAGCAGTATGCACTGTATGCAACACTGTCGCGGCGTTCCAGCAGCATGCAACTATCCACATTCTACCAACACAATTCGGCGCTATAGCGCTACGTCACGCTAACGCTTTAGCGCGTTTTAATTGACGAAGCCTTAAGACCTATGGGGTAGTACGTTTTATTACCTAACCAGATAACCTATCCGACGCGTTTTAAACCGTTTCAAATCGTACGCTTTGATTCAGGTACCTCTAAGACTTCCGCAAGGCACAACTTTCGGGCCACCGTGTTAAACACCCGTGTGAATCTAAAGTACCTGATCCCGTGGAGTTGGAGTTTTGAGGCATGTTCCAATTGGTCCAACTGCCGCCGGCGGACGCGCCCGCTGGCGCCGAGCTGTAGTTAGCTGTAACGTGACGGGGCGTTAGTCTCGCGAGTGCAATGCGAAACACCGTACGTGGACTATGGCGGCATGACACAAAGAACCATGGCAAATTCGGTTCTGAGACTATTGTAACGACTATGTAGCTGTAACGTGACGGGGCGTGATGCGAAACACCGTACGGGACTTTTCCCACCTCTTTCCCACCACTGCAACTCCTGTGTAGCCAGGATCTACAGCTTGACCGCCAATAAAAACTCAACTAGTGAAGGTCAAGTTTGTCCCGGGGAAAGTTAAACTGTCATTGGACCCGCAACGAAATTAATCAGAAGAACATAGGAAACGTCGTAACGTAACGAAACACCGAACGTGGACTACTATGGCGGCATGACAAAGAACCATGGCAAATTCGGTTCTGAGACTATTGTAACGTCTATGTAGCCATTTCGTTAACGATTTTGATTGACTATTGTAACGTCTATGTAGCCATTTCGTTAACGATTTTGATTGATGTATTGGTTGATCAAGCCGCATTATTATAAGTTGATTTTCAACCACCTTCCCTAATATTGTCAAGACTTATTTTTTTAATCGAGACTTTAGTAAAACTCATTTTTATTTGGCCATGTTTTTTTGCAGATGGGCGTGTCTACTCCAATTTCAAGAAGTTTTTACAATCTTTCAAATAGAAAGTTAAATACTGCGCCAACNACAACCATATAAGACAAAAAATTGACTTCTAAGTAGCTAAACGGGACTATTCCCACCTCTCGTTCCCACCACTGCAACTCCTGTGTAGCCAGGATCTACAGCTTGACCGCTACAAAAACCCAACCTAAGTAGCTAGACAGGCTGTTCAGAAGCTTTTGTTTTGTCACATCGCGACACGTTATGGGATGATGACTGGGTAATGAAATTCAAATTCTATTTAGTCTGTCAGACAAATAATAAAAATATTAAATACGTATTTTTTCATTTATTTTTTTTTTCAAAATAGAATCATTACAGTATTATATTGAGTTGAAATGTATATGGAGTCGATGTAGTATACTGTTATTATTAAAAAAAAAACGAGTCTTAATATTTTCTAAATAACTGTCTGATGGACAAATAATTGAAATTTTGTCATCTAGCCTATTAGCGCTAGCCAGTTGGCAGCACTATGTGCTTGCTAGGTGTAAACCGGTGAGCACTGATGCGTTTTTGTAAAGTATTAGGGTGGCGCCACTGTAGAATAAGATCTTGTCACTCGCCAGTGGCGCCAACTAGAATTAAGTTTTCTTTCGCATTCGGTTAACAAGCAGTAATAATATACCTTAGATCAGAACAGCCTGTCTACTAGCACAAAGAAGTATTTGACAAAACATCGCTTAGCTAACAATACAGCGTTGAGTGTAACATTGGCCGTATGACCTTTTGCACTTCATTGAATAAGTTTTAAATTTAAAACGTCATGAATTTATTATATTGTTAACTAAACGACGATAACGATCACGTCTATATCTACTTTTAATTATTTAGCTATTAGAATAATTATTACAGAATCTATCTAAATAGATTATTAATAGTTTTACTCATTCGCTTACACTGTCTCATAGCTGGGCAACAATAGATTGAAACTGGTAAAAAATCTAGTGTTACATTTTTTTGGAAAATGAATCTGGAGAAAATCTAGATTGAGTTGGGAGCTTGCCTAGCAGTGGGACAGGTAAGTTAGTTAAAACATACGCTAACGTAATCTCGTATCTCGATTTAATATTATTTTAAAACTAGATATTTATGGCTATTATCGAAAAGGTACACGACCAACCGTGGGGTACTAAACATTCTAAGATCAATATTGTGGTTAGTTTTCTGTTAATGTGTATCTAACGCGTGTTCTAACCTCTAGGCCGCTATACAGGGTGACCCGAGGAGCTGTGTCGAGTGGAAGGCCAGAGACTAGTCACCTCTCTTGATGGTACCCAACGAAACACATCTTATGCCAGCCAATTATTGGGATGCCTAAACACTGATCAACGAATACGTGATAATGATTGATCCCAAAAATGCGCTGATCGATACAGGCTTCGCCAAATAGAACGCGTACCTAGCGCACTAGCGCGTTAGCCGTTCATCACACTATAGCGCCGAATAATGTTGGTAGAATGTGGACAGTTTCATTCAAATACAGCGCTGGCGCTAGCATAATATGCAACACTGTCGCGGCGTTCTAGCATGCAACTATCCACATCCTACCAACACAATTCGGCACAATAGCGCGACGTCACGCTAACGCATTAGCGCGCTCTAATTGACGAAGCCTTAAGACCTATGGGGTAGTACGTTTTTATTACCTAACCAGAAAACCTAACTGACGCGTTTTAAACCGTTTCAAATCGTACGCTTTGATTCAGGTACCTCTAAGACTTCCGCAAGGCACAACTTTCGGGCCACCGTGTTAAACACCCGTGTGAATCTAAAGTACCTGATCCCGTGGAGTTGGAGTTTTGAGGCATGTTCCAATTGGTCCAACTGCCGCCGGCGGACGCGCCCGCTGGCGCCGAGCTGTAGTTAGCTGTAACGTGACGGGGCGTTAGTCTCGCGAGTGCAATGCGAAACAACGTACGTGGACTATGGCGGCATGACACAATGAACCATGGCAAATTCGGTTCTGAGACTATTGTAACGTTTATTAGCTGTAACGTGACGGGGCGTAGGTCTCGCGAGTGCAATGCGAAACACCGTACGGGACTATTCCCACCACTGCAACTCCTGTGTAGCCAGGATCTACAGCTTGACCGCCAATAACCCAACCAGTGAAGGTCAAGTTTGTCCCGGGGGAAAGTTACTGTCATTGGACCCGCAACGAAATTAATCAGAAGAAAATAGGAAACGTAACGTAACGAAACACCGTACGTGGACTACTATGGCGGCATGACACAAAGAATCATAGCAAATTCGGTTCTGAGACTATTTGAACGTCTATGTAGCCATTTCGTTAACGATTTTGATTGACTATTGTAACGTCTATGTAGCCATTTCGTTAACGATTTTGATTGATGTATTGGTTGATCAAGCCGCATTATTATAAGTTGATTTTCTCTAATATTGTCAAGACTTATTTTTTTAATCGAGACTTTAGTAAAACTCATTTTTATTTGGCCATGTTTTTTTCCAGATGGGCGTGTCTA